TATTTTCGTCACTACAATTAAAGTGTCCTTCCTAATGCATACCTGTTGCTTGGCTATGTAACTATGTCCTCATTTTGTGATAACATAAATTAGTTATAACATTTTAACATTAAGATTTTTGTGGCCATATCCTTTGACGTTTAGTGTTGTATGGTGAGTTGTTCTGGGAGTCCACATTGCAGTCTGTGAGAGCAGCTTCTCTGTTCTTTCTGTCCCCATCAGCATACTGAAGCATTCCTGCTGGCACAGGAATGGGACAACCAGTTAGTAGTATTTATGATAAACCAGTTAATGAGGTTTATTATGGAGCACTAGCAGGCGTGCTCATTAACACCATTCTGTGCTAATGCCCATCCTTAAATGTTCATTTTGTTTGCTTTCAGGCATGTTTTGCCAAACAGAGAACACACTGCTGTTCAGTTCTCAGCCCTCCCACAATTGCATTTGCATTCTTAATTCAGAAGTATGGCCAAAGTTTTCCTGTATGTTCCAAAACTGGATTATTCCTAAGCTTTTGCATGTGTCTGACTGAAGGTATTCCTTTTCAGCAAAGGCAGAAGCAGTGGTGATGTGCACTTCCTTCTCTTACACTTCCCCACCATCCCCAGCACTCCCCCAGAGTGGAGGAAAACAAGCTGTTCAGTGTTCTGCTTGTAGCATAGGTCTGAGTGTGGTGTTCCCTTCTTTCATACGTCCCTTTGCCCACTAAGGAATAGCTACACCTTATTTAATAAGTTTATCAAGACAGACTGTACATTATTATTTATAAACTAAGCTGTTTTGGGATAATAATGCTGCTACATTGTCAATGAAATGTATAAAAATTTGAACATTACCTTCACATATATATGTGTGTGTGAGACACAGGCTTTTCCCACGCCCCCTGTCTTCAGACACTACTAATTTTCTGTTGTTTTGACAGCGTACAAAATAGCACGCCCTGGAGACAACAGGGATATGTTGTTAATTCCTGTTCCTGGCCAGCCCCCTGGAATCTGTTTTGTTTTGGAATATGGGAAGGAATGAAACATGGGAAACGGTGTTTCTGTCACTGGTTAAAGAAAGAGCTGCCTTGCACACTGCCATATAGGCTAATACATGCATTGTGTGAATCTAGAGTATGAGAAGACATTCACCAATGCACTGTATTTTTCCTCACTAGCAAAAATAAATTATTCAGTTTCAATGCCATTTCCCAATTTTTGGTCTCCTCCTTGGCTCATTTCCCAAACAACTCTGCTCTGATCTGGGGATGTCTTTCATTCCCACTTTGCATGTTGTTTGTTCTAGCTACTGGATCTTTTCCATTTCTGGAAGATGCTGCATCTCCCTGTTTCTCTGCCAGACTAATTTAGTTTTGCTCCAGTGGGCTTTGTGCTTGGAGCAGAGAGTGCTGGGTGCCTGGTCAGAACTGTTACAGTTTCAGGGAAGGTAGATGTTGAATTTCCAGGCTATTTCTATTTTGGGTTTTGTTTGTTTCCTTTCTTCTTACTGTTATATATTAATTGGGATTTTTTTAGTTTTTCTCTCTGTACTCTCTTCCTATTTAAAAGTAACATTTTCAAAAAGTCCTCTAAGGTCCTTGAGGAAACAGTAACCAGACTTTGTCTTCCTTTATGTGGGCACACACACACAGAAGGACAAAGAGCACAATCATCATGTCAGGGCAGCACGGAGAACAGTGAAATATCAGTAGAGGATTTGTTTCTTCCTGCTGTCTTAACTTTATTCTTTTATATTAAAGCATAAATTATTCCTAATGCAGTTCTTCCCTAAACATTCATTGTACACTGATAGGCTCAGCAGAGGTGGGGTCACCAGGGGAATGGATGAGTCAGGCTTTTACACACTGAGTCAACAGTCACAATGAGTAGATTCATATACTTTTGGCATGTAAGTACAAGCTGGTGCTTCATTTCACTGAGTTTTGTTGATGAATTTTTCCAGAATTAATTCAGACATAGTGAAGTATGGAGAAGTAGCACGACCTGTGGTCTGCTTGGCCGTAGGTTATGGTGGAAAGTGCGTTGATGTTGTTACCTGCTCTTACGGTGTTACATTTGCAGATAAGGAAATAGCCTCAGAATGCCTTTCATGCTTGTGTTTCTATCAGTTTCTGTTTGAGTGGTCTGCTAATAAAGCCTAACACACATGTTTAAATATATAGCATGTAGATGGTCTTCTGGTTTCCTAACTCTGTAATGTTTCACTTTGTTTCTTTGAACACCTAAGGTTTCTCGAGATGCTGATAATGATAAAATCATTCAAAGGGCAATAATGCAGCACGGGGCTGTGAAGCTTGCCAGGCTGTGAACAGGATATAACAAAATTTTTTTTCTTTGGCATCAGCTTAAAAGTAGTCCTTTTGTTTCGTTAAACTTTTCATTTGGGCTGTTTTGAAGGGAAGTGATGCACTGTGGCTCAAACTGACAATTTCTGTGCTCTCTACCAAGGGCAACTTTATTGAATATCCTCTCTGACTGAAAGGCAAGTTGTGAACAGCAGTAGTCCAGTTTCACAATAGAGATAAATAACACTGTCATCAAAGTAGATGCAGGTTTCATTTAATTTCATTTATCCTTCTGCACTGGTGTCTCCCAAAGAGCTCTGATGCTTTATGTTGATCCTCCCTACTGGAGATATGCAGATGAGTTATTTTCCTGTCAGCTCTATCCAATGAAATTCAAGATCATGCTGCTAAGCCACCTTTTTACAGGAAAAATGATCTAATGACTGGATTGCAGTATTGTCACAGAAATAAATTGTCTCCTATATTCAGATAGCACCAAGGTGGTGACCATTTAGTGCAAATCTTCTTCCTATTGCTAAAGGTTTCTCAATAGGATAAAAGCCTGTGCTCTTGGCAGCTAAAAGATTTAGTCACATCTAGATAATGTCTTTGAGACAAGCCACAACTAGATCAAATATTGTTCGTGACGGTTTTACCTCCATTCATCATGCACTAGTACTTTTTGCAAGAGTTCAGCTGTAAAGCTCCTACCAGAGTCACTGGTAGTGTTTTTTGGGGGGATCTAATTTTATTTTTCCTGATTATCTGTGTCTCTTAGTTTTTCTCCCTTTTGCTGTATGTATTCTATTGAATTGTATAGTGGTTGTGAAAAATTTGGCTGTCTCTCAGTTCCAGCTTCTGTTAGTGGACATGGGCTCTCTTGCAATTCCTCTGAAACTGTACTACATTCTAAAAAAATTATTATAGAGTGCAATATTTAAGGGTTGTATGGTGGCATGAGATCAGGTTTTGTGAGGGGAACTGGCTATATTTGGAAATCTCAGTGATCTGCTTCTACTTCTGTTATCAGCTTTAGAGAGGACAAAGTCAAATAGTGTGAAAAGGTGGCTGCCCAACCTTTTCTGCTTTGGCAACTGGTTTTCAGTAAGTCTGTAATTTTTAAGGTGATGTCAAGTAGTACTAATATTCAGTCATTTTAATAATGTGGCGAATCTTAGCAGCAAAGACTTGCTGGAAACTCACAATTTGAGCCTGGTGCTATTACATCAGCTGTTTCATAATGACTTCGTCATGTACAGACTTTTATGCTTATCCCACTTTTTCCACCAAATTATAATAGGGTCAGTTTGAGTACCAGGGTCCTGGTACATAGTTTAAGACTATGTACCAGGAAATTTCATTGGCAATTTGGACTAAAGCAAAAACTTTAATCTCTGAAGGTTAGATTTAATTGTCTCCCTGTCTCTTTTAACTGTAATTAAAGAGTGATAAAAAAGCTTCAGTTGGCTTTCCTTTTATTTACTACAGCAGCAGGTCCAAACCCAAAGGACAGAAAAAAAAGGGTATAAAACAAGCTTAGTTGGCCTTTTGTATGTATCAGAGCTTTTCTAGTGCTGGCTTCTCATCAGACCAAGTTTGCTTGCTGTGAGGATAATCTGACTCACTTTTTGAAAACCTAAAGGTCAGCTGCACTTGAGGAAGCCCCTGCTAGGCAGTGGCTCATAGAAAGTACCCTCAGCTCTTTCTTGACAATTACCCTCTCTGAAACCATAGGCTTTTCTTTGCTTGCCTCAGGCTTCTGAGATCCCAGAGTAGTTTATTACCCTGCAGAAAGCACTAGGTAGATCCCACTGCAGTGTTCACTGCTGTATATTCCTTAGGGAAGACTAGAAGGTGGATAGTTTTTGCTTTTGAGCCAATGCATGCCCCATTAATCTGTGTCCCTTCTGTTAAGCAGCTAATGGTGCATTTATTTATTTCCTCCTCCTTTTTCTTCAGTGCTTTCACCCTTTCATTTTGAAGGCACGAGGTATATTAGTCTAAAGAATGATCTCAGTCACCTGTAGAACTATGAGCCCAGGATAAAAATGAATTATTAAATCAGAACTGAATTTCTCTATTCGGTAGAATGAGTTTTAATAATGATGCTATATAGGCGGAATGCAATTCTCATTTATATACCAGTCACTGACAGAAGAATTGGTTAAGTTGCTGTCTGCTTTTAGGTAAGTAGATTTATACCTCACAACTAGTATCCGCTAAGTTCACAAGTAGTAGCAAACAGTATAAACCAACTTGACCACTGAGAGCAATTAGTTGGTTTAGAATGTGTTTGAAATGGTTGTGTAACTGGGAAAATTGTCAGGCAAGAAAGGATCCTATAAGGCTGCTACGAGAGATTTTGTGGGCAAATTAAATGAGTACTTATGTAAAATTAACTACTATTGCAGCGTGTGTAAGTGTGCGTGTCTGCGCACGCATGCTCGTGGACTGGGGCTGATGAACCTTTGGCAGGGAGCTTTGCAGAAGCTGCAAGTATTTTTAGTGGAAATGAGATCTCAGCTCAGTTCTGTGGCATGTGACTTCCTATTTCTGTAGGTTACTTCCAAGGGACTTCCTCTGTTAAACTGACTTGTCTCCGGAGATTTAATCTGGAGCCGGAGCATGGTCTGCTTTGTCCTGTGCCTGTGACAGCATTTTCCTGGAGTTTTCTTTTGAGTATTTTATTTTTATTTTGCACTGTCTCCAGCATGCAAGGATCTAGTGGCTGCTACCCGTGATCGGAAGCTGAATACGTTTATCCAGGTCTCAGTGGTGCATCCAGTAGAGCACATTTTGACGCGGTATTCAAGCACTGAAATCGTGGAGGTGAGAGTCTCTTTTATTCAATTAACATGTTGATTAATGGATTGCTCATTTCTTCCTTAGAAAGTGAATTAGGAATAAAACAAGTTAGTGCATAGTCCTAGGTAAGACAAGTACATTCTGGCAGTTTGTAAAGCATACCTAAATGTGCTGTAGTTCTTGGCATTTAACCAGGATAAACAGAAATTAACTTGGCTTTTCATGAAAGCCCTGTTGTTCCAAGTAGAGGCATGGAGAATATTCCAATTCCCCAGACATAGGTTTAGAATGAAACAAGGAATATTTGCTCTCATGAAGGGACAAGGCAATGCAAAATAAACTGAATTAAGAGTATAGTGAGTTTGGAAAGTATTTTTAAATTGCAGAAAAACGTAGGTATATTATGTGGTCTGTTATCCTATTTTTTTCTTGTTCTGTTTTTTCCATTAGTGAGTTTATGCTTTTGCAATTGGAAAAATATTACCCTACATCTATAATTGGGGTAAAGAATGTGTGTATGTAATGTCTGTGACTTTATATAAAATAATTATAGACTTTATAATAAAACATAAAAAAAATAACTTGCATCATACATTACAACAGAATTGTCTGAGACTGCTTTGCTAGCCCACAATTTGCCCTGTAAGCATCAGTGTCACAAACAGCAAAAATGGTTCAGAGAAAATGAAGGGAAAGCAATGTAGGTGTAACTTGCTTAACTTGCAGGAGAGATTCATTAAGAGCAGGGAAGTCTCATTGTAAACAAACACATGATTTCACCAGAGGCTTGTTTTAACTGTTAAATACGATGAGAGTATTTCATGTGCTCTGTGTGATTACTTTCAACCAACTACTAATTAAATTATTATGGTTTCAGCCCTCAACCATCCTGAAACTGCTAAATTCAAATATCTTGTATCTGATCAGGACATTTCATTGCAGACTATCTGGAATGATACCATGCAAAAGATTAATAGATAACTACTTTTTTTTTTTTACTAGAATTTGATACATTTCCTAATGTAATGTCCTAGACCTCAATAAATTCCTGAATTTATTTTTTCAAGGTTCTCGGCTTTGTAGTCAATCTTTGGTGGGGAGGAAGGCAGGGATACAGAAAGTTATCCATAAGATAAATCACCTTTGTCATGCACAATCCTGTGTTTTTTAACTTGATGTAAAATGTAAGGATACATGCCTGGTAATCTTTGGAAATTAAGTATAATTAAACATTAAGAAATTATAAACAATATTTTGTATGATTCATTTAATTGTATATCTTTAGCTATGATATAGTTACTTCTGTGTACAGCTTTTAGGTGTAATCATAATGTTTCAAAGCACAGGAATGTTATTTTATTTGCAATACTGCCTAAAGAGGAGTATTTCAATCCCTCCTCCTCAAATCAATATCCTTAATGTAATACTGAGAGCATTTCTATACACTTACTATTTCTGTAGGATTTCTATACACTTATTATTGTGGCTTAATGAAGGTTGCTCTTTTTTCTATGTATGTGCAAGTTAAATCTTTAGTCCATTTAAATTAAGATGAAAATGTGGTATTTTCAGAAAGTGTTGTGGGAGTAAGAAAGGGTTTGGTTATTACAGGTTGTATTCCAGAACCTGATAGTGGCTGAGCTGTTTAAAATCATGTTACTAGGCTCTGCTTCAGAAGCATTTCATATCCTTTCCAGTTAAAAAACTTTCCAGGAAGTTGTTGTGGTTTTGTTTGTGTTTTGCTTGTTTGTTTTTTGTTTTCCTGATAAAGTTTTAAGGTTGTTTGTTTTTCTCACTGGTTTGGTAATAAAACTGAGCTGTTCCCATCTCTCTGCTGTAGACAGCTGACACTTTTTTGGTTTCTGTACCTCCATAGTGACATCATTGCACAGCTGTTACCTTACTGAGTGTTTACTCATATTGCACAGGGTACAAAAGATCCACTGTTTTTGACTGGTGTGACCTTCCCACCGGAATATCCCATCTATGAGGAAACTAAAATAAAACTAACAGTCTATGATGTCAAAGATAAATCCCAAGACACGGTAAGTGCTTAGCTTCATTCCTTGCACAGATCTTACTGTGGAGTAAGTTTCTTGCTGTGTTTTTTATTTTGACTCTCATTAGCAAATGTGAAATTGGTTTTGTTGTTCTCTTATCCCTAAAATCTACTTTATCAGTTATTGATATATTAGAAAATAGAGAATCATGCAGTTAAGATGGGCACTTTGCTATTGGCTTTTTAACTGCTTACATGGGTCAGCACAGGTATTCCTGGCAAATAAAAGATTGCTCTGGTGTGCTTTTTGAGGGCAGAGAACACATGGAATAGACTGAGATTGCACCACTGTGAATAATTTTTCAGAAATACGTTTCTGATAATATTTTACTTATATGCGCAAACCAGAATGACCAGAAAGCCTGTAACTTGGGAAAGAGCTACTCACATTTTATTTTAATCTCTTGTATGATGGTACTTGCAGCTTTTCTATCACTTGCTTCTGTTATTGATTTGTAGCAGTCCAAGTTCTACAGTGTCACAGCTAAAGGTGAATCATTTGTTGTACATTTTTGAATACAGAGTCATCTTTTTATTCTTGGAAGTTACTCACTTGAGCTGATATATGGAGGTCAGTGGAACAATCTGAGTGATTTAACTGCCAAATACAGAGCTTAAGTGTCATTTTATGTGTTCCAGGTAATCTAAGATATCATCATAGGACGTATGGGAGATGTGTGTTTTTCTCCTGTGGCAGCTGGAATCCAGCTGATAGTTTGCTCTTGGGCTTCAAGAATGACCCCTGACACCTGTATTTAATTAACTGAATTGCTCTTTATGTATCTGTAGTTGGCACCCAGTATGATTAAAGCAAGTGCAAGCTTATGTCCTGACTGTATATGTGTTCATTATCTATAAGAAGGAAATTAAAGGCATAATTTCAAGCTTTGACTGTCTTTGAACTGCTTACAAAAGTGAAGTTCTGTGTTTTGAGAAGTTGTAATTTTTTTCAGGTAAAAAAATTTTTGATCTATTTGTTTAAATTTTCAACCTTTGTGAGCCAGCAGGTTGGCTCTGTCCCCTCACTGTGCTCTTTCACAGGCATGTGTGGAATATTTGAAACACAGAATCTAGATTTCTTCTCTGTTTAAGAATAACCAGGGAAGGGACATGTATGTGCATTTTATAATGTATATATTTTGAACTTGGTAATGGTCCACTTAAAAGTGGATCCGGTGTTTATTCAATAGAGTTGTCACCTGTGGACAGGTAACAGGCATTGAATAAATGGAGTTGGACTTTGTCCTTTCCTTCCAGTTTCATTCTGACAGATGCTGGAAAATAATATCCTATCTTTAAGTGATAAAAGTGAACAGGATTCATAGTACTGTTACCTTTAGTACTACTTTTCTAGCTCCAGGCTTCTCTACTGCCACTTATACAGGAGATTTACCCCTGAGAATTAATATAATTTGATAAGTTTCTTGCAAACCCGTAAGAACTTTCTCTAACTGTTCCTTACAAGTGTAGTACAGGACTGGAGTCTCTCACAGAGAATCCCATTGATGTAGCTTGTAAATCATGAGAGAATACCTCTCTCTTTTTTTAAATGCATTTATATTATTCCTATGCAAAACATTCAAGATCTGTACTGTAGTATCTTTTTGTAGGGGAAAATATCAATCCCATCTCTGGTTTACATACATTTAGCATTTTTTTACTACTCAGCCATTCTAAAGCTGGATGTAAGTAAGAAAAAAATAAATAATATGTAGGATTTAAATAAAGGTGGGCTGCAGCATATGTGAATGACCTCACACTACCCTGGTTGCAACTTCCTTTGTGGCAATATTTGAACTTCCCTTTACATCCTAAAATCTCAGTGATGATAAAACTTGATTTTCTTACCTGTAATTAATTAGAAGTCATCACACTATTAGTTTGGGTGACTTTTTTTGAAGTTTGGATACTTATGTAGGTTCATAAAAGTCAGGTTGAAATGAGCTGTAATTTGATATCATTACCAGCATAGCTGCAACAGCACAGATCTCCGGGCTTGCTTCAAAACCCAAGAAATTGGGTGTGTCCTTTTGGCAGTAAAACTGCTCCAAGTGCTGTGGTGTCACAGTTCTGATTCTCCAGTCTACAGCAGAGCTGGCTTTCTTGTTCCTTGAAAAGTGCTGGCACTTTTGGCCAGCCATTTTGGCTGCCAAATGTAGTCCCACCATTCCTTGAAACAGAGAGTTGGGGGTGGAGGGGAATCCAGGCCTGCTCGGCATGCCCTGCTCTTCTAGGCTGTGCTCTAGAGCAGACACCAGCTCAAATAACTGGGCACTTGTGGCAGAAATAAACCTTGGATTTGACTGTGAAATATTTTGCAGAAATTGTGCCACAGTAATAATTCCCACAGCATCAGGGCTGTACTACTGCTTGCCTCAGTTAATAAGCTCAAAGTAGCTAATATCCCTTGTCACAAATATATACTTTAACTTTTCTTATTTGTTTTGTTGCAACTATAAGAAGTGAATTATGATTAATTAAACTCAGCAGGATTTTACTGCCACAAATAGAAGACTATAGATAAGGCAGGGAAAGGGCAGTGAGTACCTCACAGGATAAAGTGTTTTCTTGGGTTTTGTTAAACCTGACTCTGTCTATACAAGAGAATTAGCTCTCATTTTCAAACCTGCTGGATTTTTACTATAATAAAAAACTAAATACCTCTTGGGTTGTGCACACAGTTTATAATATTAAACTGAAAGAGGATGCTCCTCATGGAGAAACAGAATTTACTTTGGCCTCCTCTTTTAAAAAAAATCAAGAAAATTTCCATGATAGTATTCCTGTATCAGAAAGCTGATAGTTACTTTACTCTTGCCTGTCATTTAACTTACATTATGTGAGAAGTGTTGTTTAGTTATATTGAAATACTGTGCAGCTCTGGGATTGCATTCACTGTGCTTGACACACTGAATGTTCTGACTGCACTTTTCACTTTTTATGCATCTCTGTCTGATGTTGATCATAACTATATCATGGCTATGTCAGTTTTTCTGTAATTGAGGCTTTTTAATGAAATGGGGGGGGTTTTGTTTGTTTTGACTAGTCTTTCTCAGTGATTAGTTACTGTAAGTTTTCATGTAAATAGAAATTTTAAGAAAGTTTACTTTGATATACTTAGAATAAAGTAGTTGGAATGCTTATGAAATATCATTTATATATATCAAGTGAAGGCATGCATACATATTGGTGTATGTCATGGAATGCCATATTATGAAAAATGTATAGTGGTATCTGTTTCTACATCTAAAAGATTTTTCTTCTCATATTGCCATGAGCAAATTTATGTTTTGCTAGCTTGAGCTACATTGTCTTTAGGATTTTAGAAAGTTGGTTGGTTGTAATGCTGGGGCTGTACCTGTTGTCATTGTCTAATAAGATCAGAATTATAGGCTTGTAAACTGTTCAAAATTATCTCTGTCCCACTTTTTTGTTCTTACCTTTCTTATGGGCATGCAGGTTAGCCCAGTTTGTTCTAGCAAGTTTTAGAGCTGAAGCCAGGTTCATTCTCTGGGAAAATACTGCATAGCCTAAGTCAGGTACCACTGCCACATGACAGAACCACAAAAAATACAAAGCTGATGATTTTGTGTTACGCTGTGAGGAGTCTAGTGCCTAATCTGGGAGGCAGCAGTCATTGTTCTGTGTTTGGAATGATGCGTGTCCTGCAGCAAGAGTTATGAACCTCATACCCAGTGAGTTGGGCCACCTCTTTTTCATCCACACATGGACAAGTGCTGGGAGCAGAGGCAACTTTCTGCACCTGCTGGGAACTTTCTATATCTTATCTTTCCATCACCCCTTCAAAGACAATCTCCTTTGGATGGGTATCACTACTGGAATTCACATGCGATACTGAAAGTTATACACAGCCAGTCCAATGTTATCTCCTGAGAGCAAGATGAAACTGGATGTATAAAAGGCTGTTAAAATATTACACATTTGACAATCTGGTCTTCCTTTTTTTAGTTCTCAAATTTCATCTTAATCAATGAGAATAAAATCAGATCTATTTGATAATTTTAGAAGTAGTGGGGCTACAAGTTCTCTTTTGGATATGGGAACGTATGTTGTAAAGTGGCCATTTTAGATTAATTAGGCTTTAAATTACATGTCTTTTAACTCTTGGAGTTTGAATCTTCTATTAAATCTGTTCACTAGTAATGGAATTTTGCAAATGTTTTGTGTTTCTTGATTTTGCAAGTGTCCCTCTTAAAACTGAATCCCGCTGGGGTGAGTGAAAAATGAAGACTGTCCGTCACGACAGAGGCATTTTGAGTTAAGCTGTGAAGCCAAATCTGAAGTGACAGCATTCTGTGCTCCCTTGTGAGCACAGATCCCTTTCACACCACCACCATCATGCAGTTTGGTCTTTGGTGCTTTACCATCTCTGCTGAAGAGACATGGGGTGGAACACCGGGAGCGCTGCAGAGCAGTGTGTGAAATGCATTAGCAGACATAAATGTGAAATCTTGTACCTCGCCTTTCTGCTCTCTGCCTGCACCAGAGCGCACTCAGTCCCTCACCCCTGTGAATTCTAAAAATACCAAAGCAATTTCTCTTCAAAAACTGAAGGAAAGTGCTATACTTTGTTTAAAGAAAAAGCCACTTAAGTCTTCCCTTTCTCAGTTCTGTTCACTGCTGTCTCTGCAGGATTTGCAGAGAAATATTGCCTTAAATGAGAAACACTTATTATCTCATTCTCCTAAATAGAGCAGTACTATAGACTACTACGGTCTGCTACCCACAGAAATACTTGCACTAAAGCTTTAGATGTTGATGTTTCTCTTCAAAGTAATCTGATTTTTTTTTCATAAATATATACATAATGATAGATTTAGTTTTCATTTTGCATCAGGCTAGATGCTCTTACTAAACTTCATTATTAGGAGGAAGAGAATGTTTTTTGCTTCTTCAAGGCACCTGTGTATTCACACCTTCAATTCTCCTAAAGTATTATTGTCAGTCTTTCTCTCTATTTTTTAA